GGCAGGAGGACTGCCATGAATTCAAGGCCAGCCTAGGCTACACAGTCAGTTAAAGATCAGCCTGAACTATATGTTGAAATCCTGTCTCAAAAAACAAAACAAAACAAAACAAAACAAAACAAAACAACACAGATTTAATAGCCCCCACTTAAAATCTGCCTGGGACCAGGTATGATGGTTCATGCCTGTAATCTTATCCTCTGGGAGACTGAAGCAGGAGTATTACAAATCTGAGCACAGTCCACACAACTCAGTGATTAGCAAGATTCTGTCTCAAGTGAAAAGTAGAAAGGGGCTGAGCATGTAGCTCAGTGTGGAGGCTGTGGGTTCAATTCCCAATACTGCAAAAGTAAATAAATAAATGCCTATTTTTTATATTCTTTAATATTTCTGACTCAACTTTTTGTTTCTTTAAATGTTATTACAATTATTTCATATGCATTCTTTACAAATCCAATTTGTAAAATCCTTGGAATCTAAATCTGTGGGTTAGTATGTGTTACAACTTTGACTTGTGATGGTTACCTTTCATGGTTATCTGTGATGCTGTGATCTTTTGGTGATTTTAACTAAGGGAAAACTGGGGATCTAAACTGAGGCCGCCATCCTCTAATTTGTACATTTGACCTCTTTACTAGCTAACGGACCCAACCAAGGTAGTCATTTACCCACTCTCCTAGCTTAACTGCTAAGTCTTAGATGTTAACTCCCTTGCCCTGCCTCTAGCCAGTCTGTCCAGTGCAACATGAAAATGTTTCTGTGTGTGTTGTTTTGAATAGAAACTTTCAAAGATTACAGTCTGTTTATCAGGGGTGTTTCTTATGCCATTATGACAGAGTATATTATACTTTATTACATGTTACTAACTTTTACAAGCTGGAAAGAATTATATTTCAATTTCTTATTTCTCATAGTAAGGACTAATAATGTTAACAACCTTTTTAAAAAATGCAGGATGCTTTTAAGCGAAAGAAATTACATAACTCTGAATACCTGCCATGACTCAACGGTCATTTATTAAATAGCTAACTTTACTTGGCCTGGCACATCATTTCACTGACTTGTTTCTTAACAGTCAATCTACAAAATGAGAATCGTTACACTTGGCACTGGCATCAGTGTGACTACAAACTCAAGTAGGTGCAGTAAGTTAGCAGATCCAGAATGTGCTTATAATCATTTTCTTTTTTATCATGGGAAAAAAAGCACCTTTTAAATTTCTCAGAAAACTTTCAGACTTTTATCAATACATCAGCAGAATGGAGCCTACTTTGAGAAATACTGTTTCAAATAGTTTTCTCCAACACTAAAGGTATTCCAATATTCTAACTTTATACTTCAGTAAATAGTTTGGACCAGAATAAAGTTAACTCCTACTGAAATTCAGTGTTCTTGGCTGAACTAGGGTGACAATGGACATTAATTAGAACGATGTGGCAAATGGCACCAGGAAGCTTTATACAAGAAAGCATGGGAGGGGCTAGGGACATAGCTCAGCGGCATAAGCATTTGCCTGGCAAGCCTGAGCTCATGAGTTGATTCTCAGTTAAAAAACAAAAACAAAAAACAAAAAAAAAAAGCATGGGAGGAAAAAAGCACTAAAAAGGGGCATTTACATCAAACACTACTGTATGTGATTTTATTATTATGTAAATATAAAATGGGATCATACAGGTGATTAACAGAACCAAGAGTCAAGTCTTGGTTTACCATATCCCAAACTCCGTATTCTCCCACTTCCCATCTAAAAAAAGTCAAGGTTTCAACCTGGGAAGAGCAGTGATATTCCCTCTAGTTTATAACATACATAGAAAGAGAACATTTTTAAGGGAAGACTGACCTTAAGAGACCAGGAGCAAACATGATCTAATTCTGTTTCCCCAGCTCCAAGTCAACATCCAAAGAACAAAACAGAAGGCGGAGAAAACTGTACTTATTGAGAACTTAAGATATGTAATCTCCAAGTCCTTAATCCTTTATATTTAAGTTGCATGCCATGCATATTAAAGAATTAATGTATGAAGTACCAATTATGAAATCTAAGAAATAAGCACCCAAAACTCACCACACAATGTAAGAACTAGGTCATTGCCAGTGTGGTGCAATACACACACCTTTATGCTCCTTATCTATTCTACCTGCTTCCCCCAAAGGCACCCAGAAACTGAATTTCTGTTATTTGCCATTTCCCCGCCCTTCTCCATAATGAGCTTATCACATACATACATAACCCTAAATAACAACAGTTTGTTTTTCTTGTCCTGAAGCCTTATAAAGACAATATACTATACATGGTCTTCTACAAATTGGTTCTTTCACTCATGTTTTTAAGATACATCCATTCACTCTTGTCACTGGACATTAGCACTTTCCTATTTATTTGAAATTAATTTAGACCATCTATATTTCCACAATTATTCATTACTATTTTGTTCAAGTCTCAAAGAAATTAGAAAGATACAGATCACCCCTCGGCATAGGTTATATCACACTTAGCTTGCAAGTTCACACCAAAAGCCATCATTTCAACATCATTTTATAAAGGACTCTACCTTCACATAAAACTTGTCAACATGACTACTCTAAAGCTTTATTCAGACATGACTCTCCCAATACCCCACCTGTCTGCCAGCAGAGGCATTGTTCTCAGCTCAGCACCGGTGTCCTTGGCAAACACCGGATGTCGTAAAAGAGAAAAGATGGAGCACAGAATCTTCCAAACATCCAGACATCTGAAGACATCTAAACATTTACACCAAACATCTCAAGGACTTCACAGACTGAGACATGAGGCATCCAGAGAACTCTGACTACCACTGATGCTTACTAAGATCTTCCTACCTCACGTCCCTGGCCTTTTTTCAAGCCCTATCAATAAAGTCCCCTTCTCTTTGCTGCCTACAGATGGCCTTTTTGCTCTCTGCCTGCCTGCACTCAGGCACAATAAATTCCACACTATGTTGCCTTTACACAAGCCTGGTGATCTCTGCTGGTCTCTGCCTCACACTGTTCCTTACAATTACTATACCATCTCCTTTATGACCTCATGACTTATCACATTTAAAAATAAAAAGTTTACTAACAGTAGTGGAAATCCTCTGCTAAAATGCTATTATGTTTCATGCATTATTAAACTGTTAACTGCTTTTCAATCACTTTGCAAACATAAATTTAGCCAAGTTGCTATATGGTATATGTGAGATGTCAACTTCAATACCATGTATTTGTCAAATATATTTGCCTCAAACTCTCCTAATATAATAGGTACCTACTGATATGTTAATATAGCTGTCAGGAAGTTTTACTTTTAATAGTTTTTTGGGTCTCCAGTTCTATAACAGAAACGTAGGAACACAGTTTAGGAACTATCACCATTTGTTAAGCAAATACAAACTAGTTTGTTTTCATTATATTCTCTTTAGGAATTTCTTTGTTACATTACCTTTGAAGTTTTATATATGTGATAACTGAGTAATTTTTCTAATGCAACAATAGGGAAAGGAAACTTTTTAGTTAACTCTGGGGAATGAAAAACCTCCTCAATAATTTATAGCTTTTAAAGGTAAAAGTTAAACATGCGTTTACTGATACCTATGTGTAAGACACTATTAGGTGCTTGGTTCTCTTATCCATAAACATAGTAACAGCCCCTTTCTCTTAATGTCTTGTTTTAGGATTTAGTGAGAACATGTGGATAAAATGCTAAACATAATACCCCTGCTCACAGACTCAAATATAAGTTATCATTTTTGTACATCTGTTCACTTTTACTGTCAATTACTATTTAATACGAGTATTTCCACTGTTTTACTTTGCATTTTACTCAACCCTTAAAAGACTGAAGGAATGTTACTCTAGAAGGCAGGACCTAAGTCCACCTTAGGAAAAAAGATGCAGCCAGAGAATTACATGTGTTGGGGAACCCCCCCCTCATTTTTTTAGTGATTTTTAAGAAAAGTTTCTACAGAGCAGCCAACTGTGTTTTACTTGTCTTGATCTAAAATGGATGAAGAATGGGAAGAGTAAATATCTAGCACAATGCCTATCCCATCAAGGTGATTTGCAATGATCACATTACTGGGATTAGATGTAAATTTAAAGATCACTCAGAACAACTATATATATTACATACATAATTAAGAAAACTGAGTCAGTGACTTGCGGGTCAGTGATTCTTTAGTGAAATCCAGGTACCGAGAAGACCCAAGTCTATGAAATCGCTCATGAGTTTCTTTGAACTCATTACACTAATCGAGGGACCACAGAACTTCACAATATTCAGACTTGTTCCGATATGCTATGTCCCCTCCTCTGCGTAGTCACCCTGAGTTATTTCCAGGTGAACATCACCTACGGCCTATGAATCTGTCGCAACAGAATTAAGATGTGCCATGTACATGTACCAACTCCCCACAGTGAAAGTGATCATTATGTACTGCGAACAGGTACTGACGAGACTTAGAAAAAATGTGGATCAAATGAAGCGACACATCAGGTACAGTCGGAACACTGAATTATTGTGTTAAGGACATTTTCTGTCAAGCTTGTCCTGATTTGGAATTACATCATACATATAATTTACATCTTGATTGCTTTATTGGCCATCAATATTTACCTACGTAGAAAACTGTATTTTAAAACTGCTGGGGAAATAGCGCAGCGGCACAGCGCCTGCCTGGCAAGCGAAGGTCCTGAGTTCAACTCCCGGTACAAAAAAACTCCCTCTGATTTCACGATACACAGTAAGATTGATTAGAGCCAATTATAAAAATAAAAATTGAAAAACATAAAGCTACTCAAAGGGGAACAAAAGTCCCAGAAGCTCTGGACGCAGCCCTGCGGTGGGTAGGACGACGGCGGGGCGCGGCAGGAGGGCGGGGCGGAGCCACAGCCTGAGAAGAACCGGGAAAACCGAAAAGGCTCGAGGGGCAGCTCCTATCTGCTCCTCTTGCTCATAGAGGAGCCCTCAAAACAACACTGAAGCGGGAGGAGATACCTACGGCATTTCGGGGTTCTGGAGGCGCCACCGCCGCTGAGGAAGGGAACTGACGAGCCTCCCTGAAGCCCTGAGCACCAGCCCAGGAGACGCCGGGACCGGAAACGCACGCGCCAGGATGCCGCGTCACACCTCACGCGGCTCGCAGGAAACACGCTCTGCGGGACGAAGGGGCCGAGGACGTATGCCTGAACAGAGATGTGGAGCGGGTCGAGGCCCAGAACCACATTCATACACTGCCGGACGCAACACATGACCCTCTCTCACTATTTTAGCCACAGAAGCCCGGGACAGAGGAGCAACAGAGCCAAGTGTGTCCGCCCCGAAACAGTGATTTCCCTAGGTTTCTAGGCGGAACATTTGGGAAGGTGCTCCGCATCTTACTTCCGGGGGGGATGCGGTTGCCATGGTAACTGGCGGACGACAGACGTCTGTCCAGCCGCAGAGAGAAGACTCGGAGCCGCTGAGAGCTGCGCGTCCTCGCCGGTGACCCGGGTGAGGCAGCTCGCTGTCTCGGCCTCCTTGCTCGCCCCGCTCCTCCTGCGCGGCTTCCTCTTCCCGCCCGCAGCTTTTCCTGCTCCCCGTGTGGTCCCCGCGCGCACCGAAGTGCTCTTCCTGCCCAGGGTCCAGGCCCCGGCCCTCTGCCGCGGTAAAGGCAACCGACGGCTGCAGTTGTGTGTGTGTTCAAGCTTCTGTCTTTCTTCCCAGTAAGGGAAAGCGCGAATAGTGGGACGTTTCCGCCGTGGGGTTTTCACGTGAGAGAGTCACCCCGTTTGGAAAGAGTATGTGAAGAAGCTCTGACAACATTTAGATGTTGAAATTGCTTGTTGCAGAGGAAACATTCATTCTTCCGTGTTGGAATAGGGTTTCCCCCCCCCATATTTGCGAGGAGATATGCGCACGCATATGCGTTTAAAACGGTGATGTTAATTATAGTGATTCCAATTTGCAGTAACCAGACTGTGACACCGCATCCCTATGGAGTCCTTCGAAATCTGGCGTAATATGAAAGTGTCAGGCAGGCGGCCTGTGTATTATAAATAGGGTACTTCATCCATGATAAGCGATTATTATCTTTCTTTCCCAAGTGTAAAAGACCTATATAATTCAAGAAGGTGCCAGTGATTTAGGCCTCCTAAGAATCCAATGAGTCCTGAAGGGGACCCTACCTGTGTCATCGTATTGTTGAACTTGAAATATTCAATTTATTAGGTTGGAATGTATTTTTAGCTGTCAAAGCTGGATAAAGTAGTGTTGGGAGCTGTTAGTCCACCAGCACAAGTCAGTAACGTGTAGAAGCCATTGTTCAAAAAACCTTCCTCCACAATAACAAAGAGGACAGTGTTACTGAAATCGATCGACTTTTAATGCTTGTTACCAGCTAGGTGACATCTTTGTCTCTCAATTGGTTCATCTGTAAAATGGACAAAAGGTACCTGACCGCTGTACTAGGGATAAATCAAGATGTACCATGGTTCATTAAGCTCTTATGAACAAAAGTGCTGTGTAAACCCAAAATAATAGAACACATAAAGCCACAATGGTAATCCTATAAATGGAATTTTAAAAGCTCAGTTATGTGAAATACTAAGTCCAGGTTTTAGTGGAATAATTTGGTTGACCCTGCTGTGGAGAGTGGATGCCACCTGCCGGTCCCTCTGTATAGCAGTTCTCATTATTATGGACCTTGCCACTATCCACAGTTTATTGTGCACTTACTATATGTCAGGCAGTGCCCTATATACTTCATGTATATTAACTGATTTCCTCTTACCAACCCTATGAAATCCTCTAGTTTTCGTGTCTTCGTTCCTATGCTTGTTTGAAGGTGTGGTGATGTTTGCGTTTTAGGTGACTACCAGAGACTAACCCAAATCTTTCAATTATTTTCTAATAGAATGGCCACCAGTCCAGGAAGTGACGTCGTTTTTGCCAGTCAAAAATCAGTGCCTTCAGAGAGCCTTCGAACAAAGAAACTTCCACTAACTGAAGAGGAGGTATTTTACATGAATTGTAGAGCTGCCTACTTAACTGTCTTCAAAAGCAGCTTAGAAAACATTATTTCTAAAGATCAACTCTACCTAGGTAATTTTTAAACTTAAATATTTTGCTTTTTTGTTGAAAGATTAGAAATAAAATTCTATTATTGAATAACCCCAGTTTCATAAATATGCTTAGCAATAGCTGTCAGCTATTGTGCTGTTTTATATAGTTATATATTCTAGGAGCTTCAAAATAAAATCTCCAATACTTGTACAGTCTAGATGGGTATATTTAAAGCTGTCTTCCATTTACTAATTGTTAAAAATATTTTTAAAATTCTCACTGTGGTTCTTTAGGATTATAATAACAGAATTAAAACACTTCTGGCTTCTGAATCACTACTCTGAATTTTCACCTATATGTAAGAATGGGGTCAGATGATGATAAAAGAAAAGTATTGGGAGATGAGTGAAATTTTAAAGAGAATGAAGGATTCAGGTTTTTCTTTTTGTTTTTTATTGCTTCTCTGCATTATCATATATCCAAATTCTTCTGGTTGCAAATCTCCCCAGATCACTGAATTTGTTCCCTGCCGGGACATCAGATACTTGGAGGTCCTTGGTCACCAGAGAGTGGTGACAGGACCTGATAGCATGGTCTGTTCATGTCAGTGCTGTCAAGGTTAGTCACTTTAGGAGCAGAGACATTGGGTTATTTTGCCAGCTTTAGAAGTAGTTTCCCTAAACCAAAACTACCTTATTCTGTAGCAAGGTTTTGGGTATGAATGCAGTAAGATCTCTATTTGAGGAAATCCATTTCGGGGAAGAAGAGAATTGAAAAGATGAAAATGTAGTTGATAGACATAGTACAAGGCATTTGTAAAGTAGTTTAAACATACATGACTGAAGCAATTTTTAAAATTGTGTTTAATTTCACTTTGGTTTGCATATAGTTTTGTGTGCAGTGCTGGGGATCCAACCCAAGGCCTGGCACATTCTAGCAAGCGCTCCACCACTGAGCTACACTCCTCAGCTGTACACTGAGCTGCAACTAAAAAAATGTTCCATTTTGAAATTTAAATGTTAGTGTTTAAAATATGTTAATTGTTATAGGGAGAAATCCAATTAAGTAAAATTCTAGTTTGCTGCTACTCCTAGAATATCTGACTTTTTTCTTTCTTCCTTTGAAATAGGCTGAGATAATGAATCAGCCAAGTTTAAAAGCTTAACATACAGCAATTGGTTGGTGGAATCAATAAGTCTGTATTAATAAGGTGTTAACACTGTTAGAAATTATCTTGAAAGATAGCAATGCAGTGTTTGTCTTTTCTATGTTATATACTCTTTGGGTTTTATAGTGGAATATTCCTTCTTAGCATTATAGTAATTGATTTCAGATAATCTAGTTTTTAAAAAGGAGTAATGTGAATCAGTGATGTCTCTTTCTTACCACTGTCTTTCTTTGATAGCCTTCTGCCACTTAGGTACTACTAGAGCTTTATAGCTTTTTTTTCAATTCATAAATAATACTGATATCTTACTGTCAACTTTTGAATCTCTACAGTGACATTGTTTTCACTATCATCAGACTTAATAATGAACTGATTCTAGACCTTGAGAGTAAAGTTAGTAACAATTCGATTATATCAATTTCTTAGAAATGGGGATATCTACATACTGAGTACATATTTTGGCATAATTTTTATTGTCACTGAATATAGCAGCAAGTGTACACCGAGCTGCCACCATGAGAAAAGCAGTCATGCACCTGTTTTCCCAGTGCTGGATAGAAAGTATCACTTTCTTTCTATAAATGTTTTGATTTTCACATTACAATTTCATTTAGGTTCTACTTCATTTCCAATGTTTAAAGGATGGGTGCTGGCTGGGCATATAACCTAAAGCTTGTGTGCCGTTTCTCTGATTGTCATAATAGATGAATTAGGGAATCGTCTGATCACACGCTAAGCTGTACTTACTTTTGTTGTTAGGTCACCATGGGAATCAGGGATTTTGTCTAAAACCAAAATAAACCTGTGGAGATAAAAGTTCTGTTATATCCAATGCTACAGAGTTCCAGAGTCTTTACATGTAAAAGGAACATAGTGATTACTAAACTTACAACTTCTGTTAGCTCAGAAGCTTGCCTCTAGATTATTTTCTTGCTGCTGTGTGCCAAAGTTTAAATTAAGTAGTTATGATGCCCTGGCATAATTTAGAGAATTTAGAAAATTTCTTTTTTAACATATCATTAACTAGCTGGACATGGTGGTGCACCCCTGTAATCCCAACACTTGGGAGGCTGAGGCAGGAGGATTGTCACAAGTTTGAGGCCTGCCTGGGCTATATAATGAGTCAAGGCCAGCCTGAATTACATAACAAGACCCTGCCTCAAAAAACCAAAACCAAAAAATAAACAAATAAATAGAATATCATTGACCATAGGTCATGACCACAGGTAGTAGTCTTACACTTCAGATGTAGACTATGTTATAGAACTTCTTGTAACTGAAAAGCTTGTTATCTCTGAAAAAAATAACCATATGTATGCCTGTGCGCAATACATGCTCACTTCAACTGACTCATCTCTATTTTCTTGAGGATATTTCTTTAAATTCTTTTGTATTTATTGGTCCTTATTACATCAAATTGTTCAACAGTCAGATTATCATTTTTTGTGCTGGTTCATTATGTACAGATCTGTGCATTCCCATTTAAGGTAGTTGGAAATGCCCAATATAAAGTTTCATAGTTAAAATTGGTCGTTAAAGAAATATATCTGTATATTTTGGCAAAGTTACAGCTCAACTTTCTGTGAATCCCTTCTAGGTGCTTAGGAGGCTTATCATTATTTCATTTTATATAGAATTGTGTCCTAATATGCAAAAGTTTATTTGCAGATTACCAAGTTGCATATTCTCAAATGTACAGAGATACAGTGTATACATATATATGTAAAATGCTTTTTTTTTTTTCTTTTTGGTTTTTCTCCGGTACCGGGAACCGAACTCACGACCTTGCGCTTGCCAGGCAGGCGCTTTTGCAGCTGAGCTAAATCCCCAGCCCCAAATGCTTTTAAACTGTTACATTTAAGTGTCATATGAAGTATACAAATATACAGAGCCTTTCTTATATTGTAATTATTTCATAGATAGAAGGACATGGTTGTCTCTGATATTTGCCTCTCAAAATACATCCACATTCTTGATTTTTAGCAGGACCTTAACTGTAAGCAGATCTGTGAGGCATGGGAAACATGACCCATGAAAGCCAACCTAGCAATGATGCGTATGTTAGGTATCATGCCCTTCGTGACAGTAGAATGATTTCTTCACTTCATTAAAATATTTGTTGAGCCAGGTGTGATGGCGCATGCCTGTAATTCCAGCACTTCAGAGGCTGAGGCAGGAAGATTGCTGTGCGTTTGAGATCAGCCTGAGCTACAAAGTGAGTTCAAGGCCAGTCTGAACTATATAGTGAGACCCTGTCTCAAAAAGACCAAAGAAAATTTTAATAAAAAAAATTCATTGGGCAATAAAAAGTAATGATTTATATTTATTGCCGTTACCCTCAAAATAATTAAGTGGATGATATTTTTAATCTTTATTCCTCTAAAAGTGCTTAGTAAGTCTGATATTGTCAGTTTCTTAGAACATGTAAGTTGAGAACCAAACAGAAAACAAAAAATTTACTTAATTTGAGCATTAATAAATCAAGAATCTTTAGCTGGTGGCACATATATTTTGTTGTTAAAAGTCAGGCATACGTGGATATAACTAATCAACCCGAGCTGATAAATTATTATATCTGGGGTTTGCTTACTATTGTAATAGATAAGGATTTGGGAAAAAAGTCCAATTCCAGGTGTTTCAGTAACAAACACTTGTTTCATTGGGCAGCTCTTCAGCATGCAGGAAGAAACCCATCCCAAAGGACTGTTAATAAGTATTGGACTCCTCAAACTGCCAAACTGAATTTTGATGATTTTTGTGTAATTTTAAGGAAGGAAAAACCTACTTCAAAAGCAGAACTGCTAAAATCATTTAAGCAATTAGATGTAAATGATGACGGCTGTATTTCACACACCGACCTTTATAAATTTCTAACAAAGGTAAGATCTGTGAAACTCTTTTGCAATGTGCAGATTTGCAGAACAACTTGGAATCTTGCTTTGGCTAGAAGAGTTCACTTAAAAATAGTTACTTCATTGCCGGGCACGGTGGTGCAGGCCCGTAATCCTAGCACTCGGGAGCCTGAGGCGGGAGGATCGCTGCAAGTCCGAGGCCAGCCTGCGCTACATAGTGAGTTCAAGGCCAGGGTGAACTGCAGAGTGAGACCTTGTCTCAAGAAAATGAACAAAAAATTGACTTCGTTGACAGATGAGCCTACATCCAGATCTTTCTGGAGGACCAGTGCTGTCTGAGCCTGCCTTGTCATCCCTCCGTGCTCCCGCACAGTTCTTTCCTACCCAGAACTGTGCAAACCAGTGGCAGGTCCATGTGACAAGAGGAGAAGGAGAAGGAAATATAAATGCCGCCAGAAATCCACTGTTTCTTGGTACAATATTTATTTATTTATTTATTTATTTATTTTTGTACCAGAAATCAAACTCAGGACCTTGCACTTACCAGGCAGGCACTTATGCTGCTGAGCTGTATCCCCACCCTCTTGGTACAATATTTAAAAATACCGTTACTCTAAATTTAATGGCAGTTATGATTCCACAAAATACAACTGTTCAAATTTAGTGAACTGAACCTTTGCACATTTTTATAAAATTTAATAAAATTGTAAATTTTTATATAACAATCTGATTGTTGCTTGACATAGTGCTCATTCCGATTTATCATGAAGCCACACATTTCAACTTATTTGTCGAAGAGATTAAAATGTATTTTCACTGTCCTGAAGAATAACAGTGGTGATCATGTTGTTTTATTTCAGAGAGGGGAGAAGATGACTCCGGAAGAAGCCAATACTGTAATAAACTTGCCCGATGTAAATGCTAATGGCAAATTTGATTATATTAAGGTACATAACTTGCATATTATTTAGGGAACTTATTTATATTTTAGTTTTCCCTCAGCTTTCTTAAGGTATAGTTGACAAAATTATATATTTTTATAGCACACGTATATTTCAATATGTGCATACATTATAAAATTATTAAATCAAGCTAATTAGCATTAGAAAAGTTTGGGGTTTCTTTTCCCCCTAGGACTGAAACCCAGGGCTTCATTTACACTAAGCACAAATCCTACGGAGCTATACCCCACACCCTTAGAAAAGTCTTTAACAATTAAAGTACTTCTTTTGGTAAACATTGGCGGTGACATAGATACTTGATTCACTGTATTTGAAATTCTCCTCAGTTCCAAAATTGCAATGTGATGACTACATTAAAAATAATATATATATAAAAAAATAATATAGATCAAGCAAGCGTCCTTAATCCAAATGTCCAAAAAACTCCAAAAACCAGAGTTTTGACTGTTGACATGCCACAAGTGAAGAATTTCACATCAGAGCTGGACGTGGTGGCACAGGCTATCATCCCAGCCACTGAACTTCTTGAAATTTAGAAAAAATTATTCAGAATTTAAAGAAAGAAAAGAAAAAAAAATGAAAAGAAAAGGTGTGGCAGGTAGCGCAGTGCTGGAGCACCTGCCTAGCATGCCCAGAGCCCCGGGTTCAATCCTCAGTTCTTCAAGATAAAAGAAAGAAGTAAGGAAAATCCACACTGTGGCCTCCTGTCAGGGCTTCCTGGCAAAGTGCAGGCACACTAAAAATACTGTACAAAACTCCCTTCAGGGAGCATGTAAAGGTGTATGTGAAACCTAGGTGAAGTTTGTGTTTGGGCTTGGGTTCCCCCCCAGGGTATCTCACCACAGATATGCAAATACTCCAAATCGAAAATAAAATCCAAAACACGCTTGGTTCCAACACTTCAGATAACAGCTATTAAGCCTGCATAACCAAGTTAAAATGGGTAGAATGCGTATGTGTGCACACACAGACACACAGGCAACGTGGAGATTCTCCTCAGAAATGTACCTTTTCCAGAGTGGAAGCTATTTAGAACAAACACAAGTCAGACCATCTTGTAAAAAAATAAATCACTTCTCCTGGTGTAACATTTTACTTTCACTCAGAGTCTGACCTCCTCATTGAATCATGGCTGCGTTCCACCAGGTCACTCGAGGCTGGGCAGTCTGATTCAGGGAAATAAAACGAGTAACCCAGTTCAACAAGAAATATATTCCGTCTCTCAGTCTGTCCCTCCCTTACTAATGTGCATTTACCTTCTCTTCCTCCCAAATGCATGATTGAATGTTTTGCCCACAGGACTCCTTTTTTATTTCCTGTAGTTTTGTAAATTATATTTGACGACCAGTGGGCAGTGTCTCAAGACTGCACTAGAAAAGCTGCAAGTTGACAGTAAACTGAGGCGTCAACAGTTCGGAAGCCACATGGAAGAGGGTCCTGAAAGGGACCTGTCGCCAGCTCCAAAACCTTCACCTAGAATCCTAAGAAAAAGCGACCAGGAAGCGTTCTCAAATAAAGGTATTTACACTGACCACTGTGAATTTCTTCATCAAGAACGAAGGGTCATTATTCAAATAACATTTTCCTTCCATCCCAACTTAGTGATAGATGAAAATCCAACTTTCGTTAGCTGCAATTTCTAGACCCTCTTAGCTGTAAAAACTCTACTGAAGTAAAATTTTATTATGGGACTTGACTTAGCTGCGCTCATTATATTTTATTAAAAGTAAAATTTCAGACTAAATGGCAACATATTGAAATAAGGAATCTTATTAGTAGCCCATAAATTGGGGACCATTAAAACCTGATAAATATAAAACTTAACCTTATTTCCAGAGGAAGAATCAAGAGTGACATTATTACAGGAGACCTTTTATACCACACTGTATTTAGAAACAAACACCTGCTGACAGCTTTCCTCGTGTGGAGACCAAATCACGCTTATATCTCACAGGTGACGCTGGGGCTTCGGTATTGTCAACAGCTAGAAAGTTCAAAGCCTCCGTCTCCTGCACAATTTCCATGGCCGCTAACGGTAACCGAAACTCAAAGTTAATGGAGCCAAACCTAAAGGTAAAGTACTTTAAATTAGCAGAGATAACTTTTTCTGAAAAAAAAAAAAAAAAAAGTACTGAATTAAAAAAACGGGTACTGAGTTTATTAATAGCTCTTTCCTGTGCACACCGAGCCAGTAATGTTGTGAAGTAATTCTTTTAGGTTCTTTTTGTGGAACATAACATCCCTACATTTAAGCCTGTTGTAATATTTTTAAATAAAAATAAAACTATGAATATTATCATAAGGTCTTTAGTTTAAAAATGGTGACTCCTGAGTATTTGAACTTGATGAGTAGATTAGCCTGTTGTAATACTTTTAAATAAAAATAAAACTATGAATATTATCATAAGGTCTTTAGTTTAAAAATGGTGACCCCTGAGTATTTGAACTTGATGAGTAGCTTATCTAATTATGTAACAGGCACTTTCCATAAGTGTTTCCATAAATAAATCATTCATTCAGTATCAATTCCTGTGAGAGAAAGACAGCAAAGTCACTTTGCTAAGTCAATATTTGTAGAGTGTTAATATTGATCTTCTTCCTTTGCTTTTCCCTTTTTAGACTCAACCTTTACTAGTTTTCTTTCAACAGAAAATCATAGCTACAGAAATATAAAACATTAACTGAAACTGCTAGGATACATTAAAAATGTGTGCCCGGAGACCTCAGTAAGAGGGGGGAAAATGGTTATGACCACATACTATAACTGCTGTTAGAAAACTGAACTGATTGTTCTCAAGAGCTACATTTTTGTTTCAAATAACAACTCTGTATTTGTTATTGAACTCTGAAGTCCCTTATATCTTTAAGTTACTAGACAGTGACATTTGTTCTATATTAAAATTTTAAAACATTATCTCCAAGGAATTTTGTTCAGACTGTTTAGGAATCTGTACACCCTAAGCAATTTGGTGTGCACACCCAACATGCTCACACAACGTTTAGTGTTCCAGCAATCTTACTGTCCACAAATGGAAGCTTTGTATTTTGCAACTAAGTTAAATGCTTATAACATTGGCTTAAATAATTATTGGTGCTCTAATTCAAAAGTATAAATAAATAAAATTTTAGTCAGGAAAGGTATAAATATTAATAAAGGTTACATCAAATCATAATGACCCTTTTTTTCCTGCCATTAATTGAGACCATACCAATAAAATTAATTTCAAATAATTACTAAGCAGGTAATGTATGCCAGCCCTGTCATTTAGTGTAAAATATGAACCTTGAATTAAAACATAGAAATTTTCATTTGATTATTAGCATATACCATAGTATTTCATTTATTCAACAAATATTTATTGATCGAAGTACTGCATGCCAAGCATTGTTCTAGGTATTGATGAAAACCATTGGATGCAGCCTTGAACCTGACCCCTAGCTTTTCCCTTAATGACTGTGCCGATTTGGGTAAGTTAATCAGCAGCCCTTCTGGGTCTTGGTTTCCCATCTGTAAGTTGGAAATAATTACATTTCGTATATTTTGGAAAGGCTTGAATCATATTAGTATATATAAAACATTTAGCATGGGAACAAGGGACACTTAGTATTCACTTTAATAAAATATTGAGTTGTTAGCGTTATTGTAGACCTAAGAAATGAAGATAGATCTTTAGGTAGTAATGGCATTATGAAAGTGTAGTGTAAGAAAAGGTTTTCTAGCATTGTGTATGGAGGGAGAGACCTTCCGGAGGCTGGTGTAGACATCAAGTAGGAACCGTGAGGCTTGGCCTGGGTGATGCTTGCATTCGTAGGGAAGGAGAGGTCTGTGGGAAATCAGCTTGCAGGCCTTAGCAGCTGGGTGCCAGAGGCCACTTAGACTTGGTGTCCAAGACATCACGGACAGAGATGACGTGGGTGCTAACTGGGCAGTAGGTGGAAGGTGCTAAGAAAACTTGACGAATAAAATTGAAGTTAGCATACTGTCAACTTTTTTAATTCTGTGATTTTCATATACAACTTAATATCTTTTGGAAATGCTTGTTAGTCCTGCATGTCTTACCCTTTTATTTCCTGTTTCTGATCTTTCTGTTTCCACTGTTCACCACTTGGTATTTCTTGGATGAACTGAGCTGAAAAGATTATTTTAGAAGTCAATGGCCTTTTGCTATTCAGTGGGATTCACTTTTTATTTTCATTTCACTCTGAAGTAATTTTGTTTAATTTCATAAATTTTATACATTTCTAAGGCTTATAACCACTCAGAAGTATTTAGTTCTAAAAATACTGAATAAATTACTAAAATGATGGTTACACTAATTTTCTTCAGTACTTTAAATCTACTTTAAACAAGTTTGGGTAGCTCAGTTTCAGGTGGAATAAAGAAGTACAGAATTGGGACAGAGGCGGAAGCTTCAGGAATGTGGAAATCGCTGGTGTAGGTTAGGCATGGGGTTGGTCCTGTCCTGTCCTGTCCTGTCCTGTCCTGTCCTGTCCTGTCCTGTCTTTTCCTTTGTAATGGAGGTTAGGGTTAGAGGAGAGGGAGCCAAGTGGTCTTCCTGCCTCAGCCTCTTTAATAGCTAGGATTACAGGAGTACACCATCAAGCTGTATACTATCAGCAGCCAGATTCCAAAGCATAAATCCACAGAATTTCATGTAGGACTTGAGTTACGGGAGGAAAACAGGAACTTTACAGTGACTGTACATGTGTTGCTTTTTACTGGCCACAATTAAGTACTGTATTACTTTTGTTTGAGTCCTGGATTCTGTCCATTTGCTTAGGTTCTGTAATGTTCAAGGAATGTCAGGAAATTTTCCTTTGAGAGAGAAATAGCTTCCACTTCCTTGTTAAAGCAAATCATGATTAGAATTAGAGCAGGCTCCAAACCACAAATACATGTTCTCACATGTGTGTTATACATTATCAGCACACACAGCACACGCATATTATTCTACTTATTCTTATAAATGTCTGTGTGCATGTATTGTACAGCACATATGCTGTACCTACATATAACGCATGTTATATGGTATGTGTACCTGTATACTATACACAGGTGCTGTGCATCAAATATATTAATGTCTATATGATAATACAAACTTTCCATCTCAAAGTGATACACTGTCTGTAAATTCTGTAAAAGCTCCAAATAGTTTCTTCTTAAAAATGTTGACCACCCTGTTTAGGAGGCAGTCCATGACAGCTTTTCCTTCATAAGTCATTTAACCTTTTATTTTAAAAACATTCTTTAGTAACAAAAAGTCCAGTAACTGTCTTTACCTACCTACTTGTCTTAACATACTAAAAGCAAGTAGCTTTCTAATAAGTGACACAGGTATCTTTATAAAAAAGCAACAGTGTTGATGTAAGTTCATCCTCTGACTAAAGCTATCAGATCTGTTGCTTAATAATCCTATTCCTCCTAATGTTTTATTAATAATACAGGTTTGTATGTCAGATTAAATCATGTTCATTACAGTGATCCAAGAAAAAAATGTAATTTAATGGATGTGTTTGTTCTATAGCTGTTTTCTGCTTTATTATTTTTCATTTGTGCTTTCAACATTGCTTTACATATTACAAATGAGAATAAATAAAATCTGTGTTTGGCAAATAAATGAAGTAGCAATTGTTTGCGCTTATATGAATTGCCATACATGAATTGGTAGAACATAGCACCACCTCATGACCTATATAAGAATTACAAGCGATTATTTTATTTCTGTTTTGTTGTCAAAAAATTCTGTCATGCATAGGATTTCTTACTCTGTTATTCTAAAATTTCTTTTAAAACTCTTTCCATTTTTCTCATGATACTCAAACTGTCAACTTAATGTATAATCCTTTCAAATTGATTTGAGTGATCCAGCTAATATATCAGTACTTTTTTCTTCTAATTCATAACATTTTAGTCTAGATCCAAGAGAAAAATCTTATGTGATTGGAAGTCTGTGTGTAAAGGAGATATTAAGTTGCATATGGATTGTGTGCTTGATAACTCTGGCAGACCTTAAAAAGGCAAGTGTCTCCTTTTAAAGAGTAGAGCTGCGCACTCTTCTAGTTGTGTTAGTCATTGTTCCAAACACCCTGATTATCTTACTTGTGTAAGACTGTTGCTGTGCCACTTTCCGGCCTGATTAACCTATGTGTGATATGCTGTCTAGTGGGGCAGTCTTTCTACAGAAACCTGCACTCCTTCTTTCGTAGCATTCTTTTGACGAATTGAAACTTAGGAAAAATCTCTAACAACGTCCAAACTCTCCCTAGCTAGATTTTATAAAACTATCTCCTGTCAGCTTCTGGCCTTGCCCTGAAAAGTACTGACATCCATGGGAAAACTCTTCCATTTTTGAGTTTCCCACATGACACAAATTATCTTCAATATCAATATATAAGCAAAGGGCTGGGTTTTTTTTACAATTTCATTTAAATTAGAGTGAACTGCTATACTCATGATTGCAATACAAGTATAAGAAATGTTGCAGCTACTAAAAATCTCTCTATATATTTTTTTGTTTTGTTTTTTTCCGGTACTGGGAACCGAACTCACGACCTTGCGCTTGCCAGGCAGGCGCTTTTGCCGCTGAGCTAAATCCCCAGCCCCATAAAATCTATATTTTTAGATAAGAAAACCAAGCAATGAAATTTATCTTAACATTTAAATGTGTGGGTAATTAGAATAATAATGCTTTATTATAATAATATCATAAACATGAAATTTCTTTTTAAAAACTAACTTCAGAAAATTCATAGCAGAGACTTAAATGTGAAAGAGAACAAAACGTATAAGTGGTAAGCTAGAAAGAAAGTAAGGAGTGCTAGGCTGGGCGTGGTGGCGCATACCTGTAATCCCAGCGTGTGGGAGGCTAAGGCAAGAGGATCACTGCAAGTTTAAGGTCAGCCTGGGCTGCATGGTGAGTTCAAGGCCAGCCTGGACTACAGAGCAAGACCCTGACTGGAAAACAAAAAACAAGAAAAAGAGAGCAGGGAGCCTGAGGTGCCTGTTCTGGTTCTGCTACTAGTGAGAGCTGTGACACCGTGCTTATCACTTTGTTTTTCACTGAAAAGCAAAT